CTTACGATCAAATTTAATGTTTTGTAAGGCTTCTGGCAAGTCGTCAAGGGCAACACGAAGCCATTCATCTAACTGCTTGGCAAATTTTCGAATGACCTGTGTCAGACTGTCAGGTAAAGCTTGTAGTACGCTGGGCATCAACACTCCAGATATGGCCTGCAAGTTGAAAATATGTAGTGTATTTTCAAATAAATTAAAATAATATTGTAACATAATAAACATGTCAAGTTTTAAAAAGTAAAGAAAAGTAATTAATATTACTTTGGAGAAATTCAACCAATATCAAATCACTAAAATGAAAGACGTTAAGGAGAAGTGCTAAAGAGATGAAGAAAATTGTCTGGAAAATGATGATGATGATGATGATGATGATGATGATGATGATGATGATGATGATGATGAAAAAAATGACATTATTTATGTTTATTTATTTATTTCAACTTAATTTAAAAAGCATGGTGCGTCCATTTTAAAAAGAAATAATTTGTTTTAAATACTTGGATGAAATTACCTTATAAAGGATTGAGTCACACACTCCAACAATGTTAATTACAGGTGTGGAGCCCAGGATAGGTAACATGTGTGGGGGCATTCCTTGCCAAAAGTGTAGCAAATAGCTTTGAACCTGAGAAGAAATAAGAAGAAATTAGAAAATTGTGGCATTATACAACAGCGCCACCTAGAGTACATAACATCTTTTTCGTTTGTTTACCTCATCAAAGTTGGCACGAATCACTGTGTCCAATATTCTCTGGCAATGAGTTCTGTACATCATAATAAACGTAGAAACCTGAAAGACAAACAACACATAGATTGGTGTCAATACAAAGATTTTCAGTGTTTTAGTCCAGATACTAATAATATGATTTGCATGCAAACAATGACTTCTTCCATGAGCCAGGGCTTGAGGTGCACTCACCCAGGTTACAAGCCCATTCAATCGCTGTGGTATTTGATCAAATGGTATAATAGTAGCCTAATACTAATAGCTACAAGAAAATAGGTACCTCAGGCCTCTTAAATGTTAATCAAATTCCTCTCACCTTATCTTCTTGTACACTCGCAGGCAATTTGATATCTTTGACACTAGGGAATTCAGGAAGTAGAGTCCCCAATTTCGAGCGAGGTGAATATGCCACTGTCTGTCTTGCAGGGTCTTTCTTAGTGACATCACCTGGTGTCCTATTGACAAAATAACATAATTTGTCACAAAAAGTTTCAAACAGATACTACCATGACAAATCTGATTTCATGATGAGTTTTTGTTACTGATGAGTGGAGAATTAAAAATTTTTGATGAAGTACTTGCTTATATATTTATTGCAATATTCCACAATATTCAGTTGACTAAAGATATTTTTCTCAATTTCAAGCCTGTAGATCAGCTGAATTTGATAAGCCAAGAAACATTACTGTAAAATCATTTATTTTCACTGGTATTTAATTTCACTATTTCTATATTGTGAGCATATATACTGTGTTTTATGTTCCCAATTTTGCCAGTAAAACAATGTTTCACATGTTTACATGCATTTTATTTTACATATCAACAAAAATAGCAAATTTAAAACCAAGTGAATGCATTTACAGTAATTATGTTACTGTATTCAGTTGTCATAACAACCACCAATCAAGAAATATGCCTAAATTTGGACAAATACAACACGGCATGACTAGAAGTGAGAGAGGTGAAAATGTTTCTAAATGTAACACTGGCAGTTAAAAAAACAATAAAATGTTGTAACCCGCTCTTATAGTACTGACAAGTGAGCCCCCAAGAGGTGACTTGCAAAGTAAACTTTAAAAGTCGCCCATAAACGATATTAAAAAGAACGCTATAAAACCTTGAAAAGAACCTTAAACCAGCCCCTGGGGTGATAGATTTTAGCATCTAATTGTTAACTGTCCGAGACATGTTACGCCCCAAACCATATGCAACGTATGAAGCTCCCTCATAAATTTAAACATTCTATTAAAACTGTCTAAGCTTTTATGCCCATTCTAGAAACTTAACTGAGCTTACAAAAATACAACAAGTTATAACATGAATTCATAAATTATATATATGGTGACAAGACAGTGCAAGTTTTTGTAACACAAGTCACAAAGGTCAAATCAGGTGTACAACTGACAATTAATGATAGGGAGGAGAGTAGTCTATTTATTTGAGTAAATTTGTGTACTAGTCTATTTGAGTAAATTTGTGTACTAGTCTATTTGAGTAAATTTGTGGACTAGTCTATTTGAGTAAATTTGTGGACTAGTCTATTTGAGTAAATTTGTGGACTAGTCTATTTGAGTAAATTTGTGGACTAGTCTATTTGAGTAAATTTGTGGACTAGTCTATTTGAGTAAATTTGTGGACTAGTCTATTTGAGTAAATTTGTGGACTAGTCTATTTGAGTAAATTTGTGGACTAGTCTATTTGAGTAAATTTGTGGACTAGTCTATTTGAGTAAATTTGTGGACTAGTCTATTTGAGTAAATTTGTGGACTAGTCTATTTGAGTAAATTTGTGGACTAGTCTATTTGAGTAAATTTGTGGACTAGTCTATTTGAGTAAATTTGTGGACTAGTCTATTTGAGTGAATTTGTGGACTAGTCTATTTGAGTAAATTTGTGGACTAGTCTATTTGAGTAAATTTGTGGACTAGTCTATTTGAGTAAATTTGTGGACTAGTCTATTTGAGTAAATTTGTGGACTAGTCTATTTGAGTGAATTTGTGGACTAGTCTATTTGAGTAAATTTGTGGACTAGTCTATTTGAGTAAATTTGTGGACTAGTCTATTTGAGTAAATTTGTGGACTAGTCTATTTGAGTAAATTTGTGGACTAGTCTATTTGAGTAAATTTGTGGACTAGTCTATTTGAGTGAATTTGTGGACTAGTCTATTT